CCGCACCCACCGGAAGCGAGCTGTCACGAGAGCAGCCCGCGCTGCCTCGACACAGAGGGCAGCTGTGGCCCGTGTGGGTACAGCCAGGGGTGCGAGAGTGGTCCTGGCTGCCGGCCTGGTGATGTCTTTCCAGAGCCACCTGGTGGTTGTGGCGACCAGGGAAACGTGGGTGCCGGGGCGAAAGGCGGGGCCTACGTTGGAACCAAGAGTGCCTATTTTTAAAAGAAATGCGGCGGAGACGTCCCTGCCTCATGCTCTGAAAATACTGCGCTGCTGCTGCTTCCGGAGGCCACAGTTTCAGGCTCTTCCTCCGGTCTCTTTGCCTGTCATTTCAGGTTTCACACCTGGGTCTCTCCAGCTTCCTGTCTGACATCTTCCCCTTTTCTATCTTCAATTCTAGGCAGACCAGCCTGGCCCCCAGGCAAATCTTGAGCATTTCTCGGGACATCCCTTAGATGTCCTCATCTGCAAGCCTGTGCCCACCCTCTCTTCCTCCGCCTGGGCCTTTTCACTCTGCCACCCTGCGACTGCAACCGTTACCTTTCAGTGCCTCTTTCTTGCGGCCTTCTTGGCCGGTTCCCACTCACAGCAGCCTGTGCTGACTGCTGAAGCTCATGGCTGCCTTCACCCCAGCAAGGAGGGCACGACTTCCAACATCTCGTGAACCCTTGCTTCTGCCTGAGGAGTGCCTGTCTTAAGGAGATTGTAAACCCCACCCAAGCGGAGTCAGAATATCACTACGCTTCCGTGCCTGCTTCAGAGCAGCCAAATTTAGCGAGGCTTGGGGCTGGGCAGCTCGAGCTGTGGTCTCTCCTGATGGGCAGATGTGGCAGCTGAGGCCAGAGAAGCTCATATAACAGTAAAGATCGTGATGCCCTCACAGCTGGGTCCTGAGCAGCCTTGCACCTCTTCCTGACTGACCATGACGCTTATTTTAAATTGTGAGAAAATACACATAACACACAATTTATCAACTTAGCTCCGTGGGATTAACTTCCTTTGGGCTACAGATAAATTGTTGTAATAAACAGGGCTGCATAAAGATTTCTTTTGAGGCCAGTGTTTCATACTTTTCTTTGAACATAAAATTTAATTTTTAAATAATCTTCAACAACAACAATAACAATAACAACAACAAGACACTTTCTAATTCTCCTCATTCAGTTCCGATAAGAAATACCCTGACTCCAGATTTAGGTTCCAGCTCAGATGAATTTTTTAACTCAGAACAATTTTTGCTTGATGGCAACTTTTTATTTTTCCTTCAAGGGAACCAAGAAAGAGCCACAAACTTCAGCAAATAATGAATCATTGTCGAAGATCTGGCCCAGATTGATGATGGCGCCTTATGATAAACTTGTTGTTTTGGCTTAATGTTCAATTTAACCTAAAATGACTAATTCCTGACAAAGCAGATTAATGTATTGAATTATTTTTATAGGAATAGAGCAAGTGAATGTTCGTGGAGAATATGCAGTGTCACTTGTGCGCTATGTAGCGATGAACATTGGGAATAATTCCACACTGAAACAGAGCAAATCTCGGCAGACAGCTTCACCTGTGACATATCCGAGGAAGCCCGGGTCAGGTTTAAATAGTCATAAATAATTCCAAATATTTATTAAAACACATCAATTCAATAGCAAATCTGGAACTGTGCTAATGTTTTCAATTCACGTTTGTTGCCCTAAATACCATGCCTTTTTTTTCCCTCCAAGAGAAAGACAAAACACAATAGAATTTTATAAAGTATTCAGGCTGATGAGCTAGCCATCTACTGTATTTCTTTTTAATCTCCACCAGGATTTTAGGGATATCTTCTTGACATGAGTCAGCCTTGGAGTAGAAAAAGAACACTTTTGGAACTGCATTTATTTATTTACTTTCTGCAAGGAGAAATCACCATTTGAGGCATCATTTGCTTCATTACTATTTCTTTTTTGAGACATCTCACTACACTGCCCCACCCTGACCTCAAACTCCAGGGCTGAAGTGGTCCTCCAGCCTCAGCCTCCTGAGCACCTGGGGATTCAGGCACCGCTAGCTAGGGCATCGTGAACCATTCACAAACGTACCCCTTCTCCTTTTTTCACACAAGACTTGGTGATAGATGGGTTTGGCATATATACAACTCTAGTAACTATATTTTACATATATACACACATTCCGTATTTGTTTCACAGAGCTTTCCAGTTGTTTGAGTAACTGCAAATAAAAACAAAAGCAATTTTCTGGATTTCTCTTTCCCTCACATCTAAGGAATTTTAGGCAATTAGATTTCTTTCTTTCTTTTTTTTTTTTTTTTTTTTTTTGGGTT